CTTAAATACCTTCAATTGAGGGTTGGTTGCAAAATTAATGGAGGTGTTTCAATCATTTAACCAATCTTTTCCCTCCGACTTAGCATTATTTTTTTCTCTCTCATTTTTTCTTGCTTTGTTTTGTTTTGTTTTGCTGGATTTCTCATAACTGCTAACGATATATTCTCGTTTTTCGTTTTTTTTTTCATTGCTATTTTGCGGGTTGTGATTATTTGTCGTTATCGATGTTCAATGTTACTGAACACGCATTATTCTGTCGTTTCCTTGGTGTGTACTAACCTTACTAACTAAGTTTGCGTTTCTTTCTCCCAGGAAATTTCAGCTCTTTCTAAATTGCGACAGCAGAGAGAGGTTCTGGACACGCTTATCAAATTCATTTTATCACCCGATCCAGTTGGTGGCTTGACGCTTCAGCAAAGTGAGTTTCTGATTGAGATCCAAACCTACGATATTTGCAGCCTTAATTAAGCATCTTTAATTTAAATCGATGTTCTGGAGAATTCTTGCTTGCGTTATTGAGAGACATTTAAAAGACACAGTGACCGAATCGTTAGGGTGTTTGATGGGGAATGGGGGGTCTTGGTTTCTGGCCGGAGTCACTCCTCACTTCTCTACTAGGATAAATTGGGCACTGGCAGATTGTCATGGAAATCTGACAAACTTTGCGAAAGCCGGCGCTAATTAGCCTGCGTCGCAGAGTCTAAACCCCCTTTCGTGATTTCGTGACACGTCCGGCTGCAACGCAGGCTTGGGCTAATAGGCGCCGACCTGTTTGGGCACTCTGCTTGTAAAGAGAGTTGAGAAGTTTGTTCGCGCTATCTGCACAGCTGATATTGATAAGTTCGTAATGATCTTTGATTCCTTCGTAGTTAATCCTCGCTTGTCATCAAGTCCTCCTTTGTGTTCTCTTTGGGAGAAAACATGCCAGGGTTCGGTAAGTGTGTTATTGACTTAGCTCCTTATTACCTTACGGATCATCACACAATCCTCTCTGTGAAGCGTGACCAAGCGTGACCATTCAGATAAGTGATTGATTCTAGCTCACCACAGACAATGTTCAAAGATGTGCCATGAGGATTCAACATTTTATCAATGTTACCAAAGTTTCGCTTTGCTCTTTGTTGCAGTTATTATTCACCACAGCTGGTCAACTTGTCAATGGATTTGAGGACACCTACAAGGAACAGATAACGCAAAGTTACAACAGAGTGGTCGATACAGGTATGTAGCCGGGTTAGCTTTGTGTCTCTTCCTGACCCTCAGTTAGACGCTGTGCTATATTAAAAGACAGTGTCACAATAATTACTTTATGTCAATTTTTTCCGATGTACATTATTTCCATCATTCCTCATCGTTGCCCAGTGGGATGCATGAGACCTTAACAGTCTCCATCCAACGACAGCGGTCTTGTGCCGCCTTTCCGATTTCATTTATGGTCAGGTTGTCTTTTTCCCTCTGATGTGTAGAACAACCCCAAACTTCTTAAGTAAGATTGCCGCAGTCACTAATCCACGCCCAACCAGGTCCTTCCCTCCAGGTTAAGTCCATCATGATATCCTCGTGGTAACCTCACAGATGTGTTGGACTTCTAAGTTGGAAGTTGGATATCTTTCAGTGCTATGGATACATCATTTAGCGTTTAGACTATTTGCTGTGCGTACCTTGAGATTGAGAAAAACCTTCCGTGTAGCTAAACAACAACCATGTTCAGCAACGGCAACAAATGGCTTTCTTATTAAAAGATTTGATCCGTAGCCTAAGTCATGTTGTCGCTGCTGTCAAGTTTTGTTTCTCGGCTACTCTCGTCGCTGGTATCCGAAGTCAGAACAGTTCTCAAACAGCCAATGAAAGTTTGTTTTCAGTCGTAAAATCATGGTATAAATTTCTAGATAGTTTTCTGTCTGCAGTGATTGTTTGTTGATGAGTGTAACTGGGTTTATTTGTAGTTTTTCCAGTGATTGTGACGCGGGTTATTCATCAGGATCCAAATTTAACTGACGTTCAGTCAGAAGAGGAAGACATTGTGACTGTGTTCCAGTTTGAACATTACTTCATGGATTGTTGCAGGTTAGTAACGACATGTTAATTCCTCAGAGGTGATGTTAAACGCATTGTAGGCCTCAAGACTCGCCATAATACTCCAATCACCATAAATATACAGTGCTCATACTACAGGCAAATGTCTAGTAATTACGATATATATTTTGCAGGCGCAACTTGTCCAAGTATATCGACGAAGTCGCTTATGAACGTAAGTGGGACGGAGTTAACATTGGTTACTTCAGGAAATAAATAAGATGAAGTTAAAATACTAGTCATAAATTCCGCAAACGCGCATGCGTAAAATGGATACTTAGATCGCTTTTTGTCAGTAGTGCTTGTGGTCTGTCACGTGGCACAGCAGGCCATGATGTTGTGTTTGAATATTGACTCGGCACGGTTTTTGACTATTGTTGGTTTGTAACGTGACGTACATTGTATGCTGATGACAACAAGCTGACGTTTCGCCGTTTTCGGTGCTCATTTCTGATTCGATAATGAGAATGGAAAACTCTTTAAGTGCCTTGAGGAGAAACAGCTTCCCTTACTGAGAAAATAGTAAATTTCCCTTAAATGTTCAGGTTGGGACTGAAATACAAATGGTTGTTGCATCAGGGTTCGTTCTTGATTAGAGTCAGTGTAGCGTGCATTCGCTAAGCGAATATTTCAAACCGTTTAACCTGTATAGAGTATCGTTGTACTGCTCACATGCTTTCTGACATGTTGTTTTATCTTCTTTTTACAGTCGTGATCAGTAAGCGTCTTCGTTCAACTGAGAAGGATGCTGTTGTAGGGCAGGTAAACTAAGAAGCAGTTTCTTTGTAGTTTTCTACCCTCGTTACAGCTTTCCTATAGCACAGGCCTTTTCTCTTTTAAACTCTTTCGTCTACGAGCAATGTTTTTTGGTGTGTGTGTCTGTGTTGTCACGCCACGACAATTTCAAAGAAGCCAGTTATCAAAATACAGGATCGATTCACTTCTGAAAAGAAACCTGAAGAAGCCAGTGTCAGTCATTTTACTTTGTTATTTGTACTCCTAAAAAAATGGAAAACAGTAAAGGTGAATTGTATTTCAGACAAGTAGCTGATAGGCTGATGTGACGCCTCTTTGTCTGTGGGTCAGAGTACGAGTGTAATTATTTTTAGTAATCATTTCTAGTATGTGGCAGTTTGCGGTTATTCTGTTTTGCCGCGTAGCTTTCCGTCACCAAGGTTGTTTTGTACTTAGCTCTTATTAACCGAGCGGGGGGTCTGTATGGGAGAATCTTGACCGAGGTCGTGAGTAAAGACTGAACGCAGATCAAGATTCTCCCATACAGACCTACTAAGCTCGGTTAATAAGATATTTATCATATGGCAAACAAGAGAAATTTAATTTATTTAATGTAACTGGTTTGTACAGGTTGACATTTTGCTTGCGAACCGCGATGAGCTGAACTTAAATCTACCTAAGTTTGCTCGTCCTCTTTACCTTTTTTTTCTCATCAGGCTTCTTGGCGCATCCATAACGTGAATATCTTCTTGAACTAATATTACAAGAAAATAGTAACTTTTTTTGTATTTTAGTTTGCAACTTTTTCACCGCAAAATGTAACCGGTCTAGATGCTGGTCTAGATGGGAAAATGTAGACCGCGGTCAATATCGATTTCAGTCCTTTTGAGACACCGCCTTATAATAATGACAGTTTGTTGTCCGCAGCTGAAACAGTACACGGAGATTCCTTTGTCAAAGACCTGTTTTTGTCCAGTGTTGTGCCTTCTACTCGATAGCGATTCCATTGTGGCGCAGGCAGCAGGTATGAAAGGTTTTTCTGCAGTTCTCTCCACCCAGAACCCTCCTTTCCTCAAGAGAATTTATGATTGTTTGTTTTGTTTTTTCTTGTTAAATTTCGTAAAGAATACAAGCTGAAATTAATGAGTTCGTCTTGCATCCAGCGTTGTTTGTAACGCTATCGCAACCCCATGTAATCGATGTATCGGTTGATTTATCTGTTACATGTTGTTACATGTTGATGAGCATTGATGATATGTACTTTCATTTCCAACAGAGGCGTATTTGCTACATTTGAAAAAGAACATTGAATTAAGAAACAAGGTGGGCTACGTACGTTTTGCTGTCGTATGTGTATCGTTCTACGAGTTTGTTTCTTTGTGTAGAGTGGAAAATCTGGTTCTCTGTTCTCAGTGTACGATAATCTTACCGCACTCCTTAGACATCATGACCTTAATGTAATAAACTTTCCCGCCCCTCTCGAGTTTTCCTTGACGATGAAGTTGAAACACAGTGGAATTTAGCCGCGATTTCTGTTAAGTGAAGGCGCCAGGAGTATTACTGGCATTCCATTCCAGAATTCACATGGCAACATTTACATTGGTCGGTTGTGAAAGTTTATTAGAAGTAAATAGTCATCAATTTTCATGAACACAGCGCAATATCAATTCCGGTGGTTAATAGCCTGCAACGCAGGCGTATTTTGGCGAGTGAGCGCATTTTGATAAAGTGAGCGCCATGTTGGATTCAAACTCGCAAGAGGCTTGGGGAAAGACGAAAAGGAACCCCTCCCCGCCCAATTTTTCCAAGACAACATGGCGGCGAACTTACTCGATCGCGAGCGAATACCGATAACTCGTGCCTGCACTGCAGGCTAGGTGGGTAACGCTTCTTTATCTTGGAATCTCTTGCTCGACTTGTCAACAACTGCCTGCGGTATTTTCAACGAAAGTAAAAAAGGAAAACTCTCCGTTGCTGTCATAGACACTGTGGGCTTTTGCATACTGTGTCAGTCTTCTCGTGATCAACCAAAGATAAGTAGATCGTTAGAACTTTATTATCATGTCAAAATAAAGTCCCTCACTAATTGGGACATCTATACTGAGATTATATACACGTACTTCCTAGAAAATGTAATTTGGTACTGGAAAAAAGGTTAAAATGTTACAAAACATCAATGTATGCATGGTGAAAGTTATTTCATCGCAAGGCAGATGGTGATTGAGCTCTGAAGCTTGTTTGATGTGCTCAATTGTAATCTCTCACGTAAAGATACTGAAAAAGAGAGCTGATCACCGTAATTTTCTTCAAAGTTTGCGACACATATTTATTTAGTTTTATTTATATTTCACAGGCCATTGGTTTGAGTATTGAATCCCTTGAGGAGTCCGAGGAGAGACTACGTGAGGGAGCATGCGTAGCTCTGACAGTTCTTCAGGTTCGTAAAATCCAGCCAATCGCAACAATCGTAATATATTGGACGAAGTAACCATGCAGAGCGTGAGTTAGAAACACGTGACCGGTGTGCACTGATCAAGTGCGGCAAAACAATTGTCTGCCGGCTCCCGGATTGGCTGCAAAACGTTTTTGGTTCTACTGGTCAGAGAATGTTGAATCGATTATGATGAATAGCTCACGCAAATCAAAACAAAGCAAACTTTTAATACGTTTGACAGTTGTGGAAAGGTGTCCAAGCAACAAAACCCAGTGTTGCCTTTTAGAAGTAAACGGAGAAATACCACAATCCAAAGGTTTGTTTGGTTGGTGGCTTGAAACTCGTGGTTAAAATGTGCAAACTGTCATGAAGTAGACATTTCTAAACTGACATTCTCTCCCTCACATCTTTGGTTAAAATGGCGTTGAGAGAGAAGAACGAGAGAAGAAGGTATCGCCGTTTCAAGAAAATCAGAGATTTATTCATTATTCCAGTGTCTGACCGTTTGGCTGCATCTCATGGTATTGTTATTTCACAGGCAAAAGACTCGGTACCCCAACTGTTGTACCTTAGCAGATGCGATGTACAGTCAGTCAAGTTTGCAGCACGAAAGGCACTGTCATCTCTAGGTATGATTTATGAGACATATTCTGTTTATCACTGTTTTTTTCTCGTCTGAAACACATCCTGACTTGACAGATCTTCCGTCGAAGTTGTAACTTTTCAATTAAAGAGCTACTGGTAACTCAAGCTGTCTCCCTTTTTTTGTAGGAGAGGAAGGCGAAGATGCGTTGAGAAAATCTACGATGTCGTCAAGTGAAATAGCTGGCCTAATGTTTTAAGCCTTTTGCCTTGGCTTCTTTACGTCCTGCCATCTGCTAGTGGTGCTGAGAAAGAAATAACGGGCGCTTTGCGTGGAATGCGTCCAGGAATTTTAATTGGCACACGAAGCAAAAACAAAAAACTATTCAGTAAAGATGTATCAATAATTGCTTAATATTGACAGGCTGTTATATCGCAGGATCAGGCGTGGAGAGTTGTGTAACCGTGGTTACAGTGCAAACCGTGCATGACCACTCACCAGCTGATTTTGAATGGCACCTGTCAATTAATATGAACCTTTTGGCTGGCATTAGAACTATGAATAGGCATATGTTCTTCCTACAATCTGTAGAGTGCTACAGTCTACGTAAGATTTCTCCGTGGAGAATCACTAGATGTAACTCCGTCTCGAGCAACATGTCAGGGCAGAGGCGTAGCATGTGTCGAATGTCTCGAACCCCTCTCCCCACCCACCCCTTCCCCGTCTCTCCCCCGGTCGGTCTTCCACAACAGAAATGTAACTTTTGGTCTGGATGATCAAATGTGAAAAATGAAATTCTTTTCAGTATAAATTTACCGTTGTCTGTTCCTAATCCGTGAATTTGTTTTGCTTTATTACCAGCAGATACTACCAGTTGTAGACGTGATTTACGTCTTGTACACGTGATTTTTCTATGCACATCTGCATATCGCGCGTTGTGTTTGAATTGCCTGATGTAACGCAGTAAAACAGTTCTTTTCTACGTGCCACTTGACAGTTTTTTTTTATGCAATGAGACCACGGTTAATTTATACTAAAACATTTAGACCACCCCCGTTTTCTACGAGCTGATGGTAATCTCGGCTGCGCCTTGTTGACTATCAGCTCGTAGTCTTATTGTTAAATAGTTACGAAGCTTAACAGGAGGCAGAAGAAGGCATTGGAGATTTTTGTTTATAATTTGAATGAGAATATATATGTTAATAGAGAAGAGTTTAAAATTACAGTAAAATTGACAGAATCTTGAACGCGTTTTGCTTTGTCGCGAGAGTTGGATATGAATGGCGTTAGCTTTCCTTATATAGAGTATTTAAATTTATATTGTCTAGTAATATTGTTTATAATATAAACGGAAATTTTGTTGACTTAACTAAGGTTGAGTTGCTTGGTCGCCGGAAGGGACAGAAGTGAATTGAAATAAAATTTATTCTTTTTCAAGTTGTATAAAAACTTGCATGGCTGATATATGCGATAGTAATAAGTGTATATTTATTATTATTTTTTTCTGGTCTTGTTGTCTTATTCGTGTCGTGCAACAAATTTGTGTTCTGAGCTCGGCTTATTCACGAGTAAACTCTACCGACCAACGGACGTCAAACAGAACAGCTTTATTTGACTAACAGTGCAGGTGGAAACCTACTACAACTGACCAACATCACACAAGTCTTACAGCCAATACCATTCCGTGGGGGGAGGGGGCAGGGCAGTCTACAAAGTTCTATATACTCAGAGGCCCCTCCCCTAGGTCCAACCCCTTATTCTTTTTATACCAGTTTGACAGAAGAGGTATCCCTCTCGTACATCTCTAATTGAAAAAGATACCCTTTTCACATAACTTTCATAACTGGCCCGTTTTATGAATAAATCGCCAAAAAAAGAAGGCTTTTCGTCATTTTCATGTAGTGCCTAATAAATGAAATGATACAGCCATAAGGTGCGTCGCAATATTTCAATTAACGTCGCCTTTAAAATACCTAAATGACAGATTTACCTACCTTTTGATAACGTGAAGCCTCAAAAAGGTACCCCTTTGGGGCGTGGCCTCCCCGTATAGGATATTATAGGAAGTACCCCCTAACCCGGGATACCATCACGGCTAAACCGAGCAATCAGTTTATAACACCATCGTCTGACAAAAACTTTCTACTTGGCTCTGAAGACGACTTCCGCTCAGGTTGTCCAAGCGTCAGTCATCAACAACAGTACGTAGTTGTTTTGAGAAATATATCCTCACCTAGATGATCATAATCAGAGGAACTAGTGTAATTATAGTCGCAAAACAATATCTAAGAGCAACTTTGAGAACTGGACCATCGAAGGTTTGCTTGAGGTGTTTGAGGTGCTAGAGTGGACTTGGCCATCTCGATCGTGCAGCCTCTCGAAACGGCGGAACAAAGTCGCGCCATTTGTCATCCAAGCAGAATAGGCCACGTTCGATATATCAACATTCTAATATGGCTCCGAGGCTTTCAGGACAAACTTCTATTTTTGGCGTCGTTTTCTTTGTATCCAAGTCTCTTTTGAGAATTAAGAGACAAAAGAAATTTAAAATATATACAATTTCGACCCGAAAGACTCGGAGCCGTGTTAGAATATGATATCGAACGTGGCCTATTAAAACCAAAATCAATCGTGAGTCGCTCGCCCACGTTCCTCGCGCTTTACTTCTGCTACAGGAGTTTCCTTGGAGTTTTCAGTGATTGGTTCATTGGATTGTCTGTCCTTTGTGATTGGCCAGAGTGATAACTTTGCTTTTGGTTTTACGACACTCAATTGAAAACTGCTTCAAGATTTGGGCAAACAGTAATTAGGAAACACATACACAACAATCAAAACGAAAACTTAAGTAAGCCGTTTTAAACATAGTACATGTACGTTTTTCAGCTGTATATTTTAGCATAACATTTTGAGCCAGTATCGCTAATATGTTTTTGGTTGAGCGTACACATAAGAAATACCGAGAACAGTGTGGTATCACGCTACAGAAGATTGAACTTCGCAATAAAGAATCCCTCTCAGCTGTGTATTTGTCAAGTTATCACCCAAAGGCAAACAATCAAACGATGGTTCTTCATATCATGCCACGGACCAACGCGGCTGAAAACACGCTATATAGGTACCCTCTGGCGCCATATCAACAAATTCTCACGGAATTTTAAACTTTTTGTTGGCTTTATTCTGCAAAGTACAACTAAAGAAGGAACTGGTTCACTCCTATATGGACGTGGTCGTTCGTCGTCGTCATCGTAGAGCGCACGCGCCCGCGATCCATGCCGCTAATCATGTTGACCATGAAAAAAGAGCTGCTTGGTTTTCTATTTGTATGCATGCATGTTGCTCCGTTCTTATAGTTATGGTGCTCCGCTTAGGGCCGCTGGAGCTCCGCTAAAAAGCATGAAAATACAGTAAATAAATAAATACACAAACGAGACATAAATTAAATAAAATTACAGCTCGAATAGAAGACCTTTTCTTCTAATATAAAGGGGATAGTCTTCTTGTATAACTGAAAGGCCAAATTCATGTTTGGTTTGGTCGAATATTAGCCGAAAAATTAGCAGACATTCTCTGTGTTGTTTTCATACACTGCTCTATAATCAAACGAATCATTCGCGTGGTTTGAACGTTAAAGCTATGGATCGATCTGAAATATCTGCAGATATCATCCCTGTATCTGAGCACTGTATCACTGACTTTAAAACAGCTATTTTGTTCTATGGATTAAATTGTTCATAGCCGAGTAAATTCAGTATCGCAAAGCGTTTCTATGCATAGTTGTCAAATAGTCAATACTAGTAATTGCATCTTGTATACCTGACAAAAAGTACGTCCAATTGGAATCTGGTCACCGGTTACCGATTTTTAACTGTCTATATCAAAAAAGTGTCCCATTATTACTGCAAGTAGAGACATCAAGCGCGAAAGTTTCGGACGGTCGCTCGCATCCCGACCGCTAGTCAAGGGAAATGAAGGCTCCAGGTACGAGAATGAGGCTTATTGCAAACGTTTTAAGTGAAATCGAGTTCGATAAGGATGGAAGAGTTTGTGCGAATCCCGGGGGGGAGGGGGGTGCTACCATAAATTTCGGATAGGTGTGTCCAGCGAAGGGTCTTAAACCCTGACCCAATTTAAGGATGAATCAAACGAAAGTTGATACCCTATTTAAGGCCCAAACCCGAAACGTTGCGTGACGATCCAAACGACTAACCGCTACGGAAAAACACAATCTTAATAAGATCGCTTTGCTAATACTTTAACTTAAACAGATCATTTGTTTTCCGCTCAACTGCGTGTTTACGCACTGCTATTTTAGCTGATACAATTTAGGCATCCTATCTAAGGATCACACCGGGAACGCTACTCCAACATGGGCGAAAATGATATCCTTTATAAGGATCGAGAACCTCAAAAACCATACCCTATCCCACGGCACATACCTATATAGCCCCCC